GGGGGGGTGATGTGGGTTTTCTTTTCTCTCTCAGTCACACACACAAATGAATGATTCCTTCCTCCTGTGCGCCGGGCAACGACATGTGCTCTCTGCACGCGCACTCAACTGTAAAAAGCCTCATTGTACCGTCGCTACCTGGCGACCTGTTCAGTCTGTCCCACAGCGTCTGCTCGAGCATCATTTTCATACTTTTTGCCTTGCAAATAACTTTTTATTGCAAGGCAGCTCAACAAATTTTTCCTTCCGGTATGAATTTTAATGTGGGTTTATATAGAAGCACATTTCCACCACTTTAGTTAAAAAAAAATGCATCTAAGTCATGATTATTAGACACTAACTCAAAATTATGCTTTAGTACAGACATGAGCAACATATGGCCCGAGGGCCAAAAGTGGCCCTAGGACAATCTCTATATGGCCCTCAATATTCTTAATTGAAAAGAAAACAACTTTAGAATAAGTTGATGAAAACCTGCTTTTTATCAATGAAACTTAAGTCTAAATTAAATACTACATCATAAACTGTTGGATTAAGAAAAGCCAAAACCTTTTTCCTGAAGTTATTGTTTCCAGAACTAGACTGAACCTTAAAGACTCCAAAAAGCAATTATATTGTGTTGTTTTTTGTTTGTTTGTTTTTTACATATTTAAGCTAAAACACATATTCTCTCAAAGGCCAGTTTACAAAGAAAGTCTTGTATTCCCAGATTATTGAGGAGACATTTTTATCAAGCATGCTAACTTTACGAGATAAAGCTTGCAATAAGTGTTCCAGATTATCTTAAAGAAAATCTATTTACTATTTCTATATGTGGCCCTTCAATGGCTTTAAATACCTTTATTTGCCCCTCTGGCAACAAAAAAAAAAAAAAGTTGCCCACCCCTGCTCTCTGTGTCCCTGTGATGGACTTGCAACCTGTCCAGGGTGTACCCTGCCCCTCGCACAGTGATTGCTGGACATGGGCACCGGAGACCCCCGTGACCCAAAATGGAAGAAGCGGGTAAAAGATAATGGATGGATGGATGGAAGATGGTATAAGTCATCATTTTGTGGTGGTACCTGAAAATATGTGCATAGAGGTATTTATTTATTTTATTTTGTGGCAGTAAAGGGCTTCCACAGTTTGATAGGGAGGAACTAGCAGAGGTTTAAGTTTAGACATGACATCAAAGAGGAAATCCACCAGTGACACAGAGAAACATTAACTTATTAGAGCATGACACTCTCCCACTGCAGGGATCAGAGGATCAAGCCATTTTTGGATACATTTAGGGGGCAGGTTTTGCTCCTAACCATTGAGACAAACTATTATCAGAATAAAAGTTATTTAGATATTTTAGTAAGTTTTCACTCTTTAAAGTGTGGATATAAATAGTTTTGTTAGAGCAGGGATCTGCAAATTGTGGCTGAGTTCTCTGCATTAAAGTTTCTTCACAATGGATACAATAAAACAAAAAAAAAATCAGTATGATGACATCAAGAATTATAAATTACTGTTTACATTTGATAAAAGCTTTGAATACATGTTGACGTAACTGAAGGTTTCTGCCTTTATGAAAGGAAATGCATCAAGTCACGGTTAAAATTCTATTAAACTAGCAAGATTTTTTAAAATTATTATTACCGTTTTTTTCGGACTATAAGACGCACCGGATTATAAGTGCAATATCAACGAACGGGTCTGTTTTCAGACATAAAAAGCACCGGATTATAAGGTGCATTAAGCAAAACAAAACCATTGGATAAGTCAAACTTTATTCAACTCATTCACAGTAACCACAGTTCAAGGTCAGTAAGCACAAACAGAATTAATACATAAGGCACACCTGATTATAAGATTCACTGTTGATTTTTGAGAAAATTAAAGGATTTAAGTGTGACTTATAGTCTATAGACTTATAGAAAAACATGGTATTTGGATACTTACTAATGTATCCATACATTCAAAAAATGCACATCAGGCTGCATAATTCAATATTTAGCTTTTATCCAAGGTGGTCTCCACAGCTTTTTTTTTTTTTTTTTGAGTTTTTCTTTCTTCAAACATTAAAAATACAAAAAATGTCAACAGTTTAAAACAAATCCTAGACTTCATATTGATTCATAAAACAATAAGTTATAGATTACATTCTGCACTTTACACCAGGTTTGTATGTCACATTTAAAGAACACTGACTGAGTTGTGTTATCTTTTTTCAAGGATCGGGTACATTTCAGAGCTTCTATGTTTCTATGTTGCTTCTATGTTTTGAGCAAATGAACAGAAATGTCTGATTTGATTGTAAAAATTGCAGATACCCTAGATAAAACAGAAAGAGGACAAATACAAATAAACTTAAAAAAAAGGTGGTTTAAACAGATTTTTAAATGAATTAGTGATGCGAGAGGAGCAGCTGAAAAAGGACACAAAACAGCAGACCAATGAGAGAGCTGCATGTCTGCTAATTAAAGGGACACTCCTGTAATTTGAAGCCTAATGGGTTTAATAGGAAAGACAACAAATGCATCAAATGACAGAGTTTAGTAATAAACCTACAGGCTTGATTTAAATTAGGTTAAAAACACAGTTCATTTTAGGACAAAACCATTGATAAGGCATGTTGTAAACTTAAGAGGCCGGAAATTAAATATTTTTTGTGCTTTTAATGTTTTCTGGAGTCATTCTGCAAAACGTCTCTGTTGACTCACCCAGTTCACTCGTCAAGTATGATAATGACATTTTTAGGACTTTATTATGCTTTTTAGGTTCATCAACAGCCCAGAGATGAGGTTAGAGATTATAAAAATATAAACTTTATTCAACCCAAATGTGACCCACTATATACTGACAAGTTAAAACAATGCAACACGGTCCAAACCATACCAGAAGAATAAAGTTTGCATCCGATATTTTCGCATCTAGTTGGGTCAATAAAGCTTTGTGTAAATCTGTGTTAGTGAGCACTTCTCCTTTGCCAAGATAATCCATCCACCTCACAGGTGTGGCATATCAAGTTGCTGATTAGACAGCATGATTATTGCACAGGTGTGCCTTAGGCTGACCACAATAAAAGGCCTCTCTAAAATGTCCAGTTTTAACACACAAAGCCACAGATGTGGCAAATTTTAAAGGAGCATGCAATTGGCATTGACTGCAGGAATGTCCACCAGAGCTGTGGCCCATGAATTGAATGTTCATTTATCTTGCGTAAGATGTCTCCAAAAATGTTTCAGAGAATTGGCAGTGCATCCAACCGGCCTCACAACCACAGACCATGTGTAACTGCACCAGCCCTGGACCTTCACATCCAGCATCTTCACCTCCAAGATCATCAGAGACCAGTCACCAGGACAGCTGCTGCAACAAAAAGAAATTCTGCACAAACTGTCAGAATCCATCTCGGGTAAGATCATCTGCATGCTCGTCCTACTCTGCAGGGTCTCCACCTGACTGAAGTTTGTCATCTGGAATGGGCAAATGCTCACATATAACAGAGTATATAGCATGTTGGAGGTGTCGTCTTCACAAATGAATCCTGGTTTTCGTTGTACAGGACAGATTGCAGACTGCATGTACGGAGTTGAGCGGTTTGCTGATCTCCATGTTGTGAATCGAGTGGCCCGTGGTGGTGGTGGGGTTATGGCAAGTGTAGGTTAAGAACAAACACAGGTGATGGTCTGTATTGAGGTCGGTTGGATGTACATTACTGCCAAATTCTCTGGACATTGACATTCCTGCAATCAGCATGCCAATTGCACGCTCCTTCAAAATTTGCCACATATGTGGCGTTGTGCAGTGATAAAACTGCACATTATTGAGAGGCCTTTTATTGTGGTCAGCCTATGGCACACCTGTGCAATAATCAGGCTGTCACACTGGTGGATGGATCATCTCTGCAAAGGAAAAGTGCTCAGTAACAGATTTACACAAACTTACGAACAATATTTAAGAAAAAGGTCTTGTGTACATAAAGTCTTACATCTTTGAGTTCAGCTCATGAAAAATGAGAGCAAAAAGAAGTTTATTTGTTCAGCGTATAAACTGTTCTCAGACCTTGACTGAGTTTTTTTTTTTTTTTGTTAAACTTGGATATGCACTGGGCCTTATTATGAATACAGATGTGATCAGCTCCTGTCAACACAATATTCTGAAGTCACACAACTAAATAAAAACATTAAAAAAAACAGCAAATGGAAATTAATCTAGCAATTTAAGTGATCTTCAATTTTTGCTGCATTTTCTTACAGTAGGAATGTCAAGACCATAATCTTCAAACAAGTCAGTAAATTATTGGAATGTAAAACTAGTGGAAAAAAATAATTTACCAAAACATATTTGGTCAAGAATATCGACTTGCAGGAGATCAACTTTATTTAACACTGAAAGTTACCCAACACTAGCGCTTCTTGAAGTTCCAAATAATTACTTTGCATCACGTCTAACAAGTGAAAGCGCAGGAGACGTGCTTTTAATGCTCATCTGCTTGAGAAAATCTCCTGCATTTAAATCTTTAGTTTTCACCATTTATTTAAATCAAGGTCCATGGTTGCATCAGTTATATGGAAATGTAAAACAATGTGATGCATTTATGAAATGAAATTAAAAAAAAAAAAAAAAAAAGTTTTTCAACTGGAAGTTTGTTTTGATCACGACTCATACTTTAACAGAGAAACACTGGACAGATGTTTCAAAGTTTAGTAGATTTGTTTCAACAGAGGAAATGATAGTTAAAATAGAGTCAAAACTATAAAGTTATTATGATTCAAAACTATAAAGCAGCTTGTAAATGAGACTTGACAACACATTGTGATTAAGAGTCCCCACACTGGTCAAGAATGTGCTGGAAATGTAAAACTGTGTAAAACGTGTAAAATGTAAAACGTTCAGATTATTATTTTTTTTAGTCTTCTGATGTTTACTGGCTGAAGCATCCATGCATGTTTTTTGCCCTTTCAATCAGAAATTAAACACTTCTGAGGTCTCACTGGTCGCTTCGCCTCACTCTCTTCAAGTAAGCATCCCAGCCCGCCTTTCTGTACGACTCGGCGGCTTCGAGCCTATCAGAAGCCTCTAAAACACCGCGTCCCACAATGATGACATCAGAGCCTTTGCTGTAGATAACCTCCTCTGGGGCCGTGTACTGCTGGCCCAGTGAATCTCCTGAAAGGGGAGGGAAATGGGAGATGGAAAAATGTATGAGAAGGTAACAATACTGGGAGAGCCAGATATAATTTATAGAACAACAGCGCCACCATGTGTCAGAAAAGTGTCATTTAAATTCTCCATTTATTTGAATCCTACCGTAATAGGTTGTGTGTAAATGTTAGCACACACATCAATACTGCACAAATACTTAAAATAAAGTGTTTATTTTCGTATATCATTTATATCTGTCATTAGAACCGTGATGTTAGTATTAAGTGATGCTGTAAATGGAATATATGCATGCAGATAAGGTTAGATTCGGTCAGTTCATGGCTAATTTCAGGAGTATAGCTGGGAGAGGACTATTCAAACTGGTAAACTAAGTACAAGTTCCCTATGAAATGTGCTATGCATAATTTAAAAGGTCATATTTTTCCATTACTAACCATGAACCATCAAAATAATTATGGAAACTACATCTAAATAACACAACAGAAAATTATATATTTGTATCAGCATTGGCGACCGGTCACATTTCTTGAAATGCCAGCATACTGAATATTACAAACATCTGTTTTTCCATATACATGCACAAATGTACATGCATGCATATAGTGCATTACAAAATAAGCAGATTTGAGATGCCAATGAAATAATAGGTTACAAAATGATCAGAACACAGTTAAATTTACCTTTAGCTTGCATCTGCACACCAGGTGTCATGTGGATGAACTCTGGCTTCTCTGTGATCTTTGAGCCACAAATGAATCCAATCACAAAGTCTGAATGCTCCTCCGTCATCTGCAGCTGCAGAGTCACAGAACAAACGTAAGCTGCTGTGAAGTTACAGGCACTGATCAGAAAAAGGCCTCAGCAGAAATGTGCTTACCACAGCCTTCGTGTATTCACCAGTGGCCAGAGAGCCCTGGGAGCTCATCTGTGCAATGAGCAAACAGCCACGCCCAAGAGGCTTCCCTACAGAACTCAGGCCCTTCACGACCCCCGGCCCCGGAACTGCATGGGCATTAACTACATGGGACCACGACGAGATCTGGAACACACCACCTGCAGAAGAAAAACATGAGGACCATGACATCAGACCCGTTCATTCAACCTTTATTTAGACAGGTAAATCCCATTGAGCCTCGAGGATTCATTTACAAGAGAGACCTGATTTCAACAAAGAATGATGACAACATATCCTGATGCATGCTCAATGATGACAACAATGAACAGCGACAACAATAGAGTTATAAAAAGGAAAACAGATTTTTTTTTTTACAAATAAGATGGCAAAAAAGTAACAAAAACAGCTAGATTATAAAGTGTATGTAGAAAACTAAAAACAGGAACATGTCTGCATTGGTCCCTGCCAGGAGTCCAACAGATTTTTAAAGCCACTTTTAGAGAGGTCAAGGTCGAGAGCTTCAAATCTTTTTGTAAGATGTTCCAGGAAACAGGAACGGAGTAGGAGAAGGCCCTTTTGCCAAGTTCAGTCCGCACTGAGGGAACACTGCAGGTAATAATGTCCTGAGAGTGCACGCTGTAGCTGCACTCACGCAGAGACATGTAGGAGGAGATAACTATAAAGATGAACAAGGCCAGGCTGATTCTGGCAGATCCTGATCACAAGACCTGCGCGATATATACAGTACACGGTGGAAACGATAAACATTTAGCCTACAATAGAGATCTGTATTCTACCGGCTAACTAATGCTGTGTCTGATGTAAAATCAGAGTTGTCAGATTTGTTACTTTTTTTAGTTAAACTGTGAGTGAGTGGTGTTAGTCTTTTCTTCGAAAGCTAAGTAGCGAAACTACAAGCTAATTACGGCCGGCTTGCAGTAGTGTTGCCGTATTCGGACACATGCACAAAACATTGTGTTCCGTCGAAAGTTGTTTTTTTCCGTCGAAAGTTAAAGTGTTGGTCAGCTTTAGAGAAACCTGCTCTCTGATCTGTACAAGAACGCTGTGTTGTGTGATTTTACTGCGAGACCCTCTGGTCAAAGCCACAGAGGAAACTGGTCGCCATTTTGTGTCAGCTCTCCATTAAAGCAGAAGGAGACGCCCACTAGAGGGTTGGAGGGTGAAGTGTTTCAGTGTAAAATGCTGCTCTGTTGCTGTTCATTTCTTAAGTGAGAAGACTGGAAACTGTTAAGAGTTAACAACATATTCTTTTGTTTAAAACATATGGCTAAAACTACATTTGATATATTTTGCACTACAAGAAAGAAGCCTAATACTTGATTTGTTAATTATTTAAAAACCCTCTGGACCTAGTAGTGGAATTTTCTTAATTGAGATTATTTTGTGGTATAGCAGTTTTCAAAATAAATTATGGCAAAAGGACACCCTATGCTTTTTTTTCATTCCTATTGCAAGTTTTATTCCAAAAACATATTGTGATATATATCGTTATCGCCACCCTTCACAATATATATTGTGATATGAATTTTATGCCATAATCACACATCCCTACTGATCACCCACTCCATGGTGAGTTCAGGTTGCTTCCATCTGGACGCAAGTATCTGCTGCCCAGATGTAGGGCGAGATCAGGCTTCTCAATGAACAGTGATCATTTCTGCACCGCTATATTAATGACTCACTGTCATGTCTAGTATGGATGGGGCTAACAACGACCCTAACGATCCTCTATTGTGAAGACTGTGAGGTCAATCTGCATGTGCCAATCTCCATTATGCAAGCTTAGACAACACCACAGCTTTATAACTTGAATCCCACACTCCTTATTTCATTGAATTAAGAGAGCTCCTCGGATGAGAAGCGAAACGTCTTCAGTTACAAATAAAGTCCAGTTGTTTTGTTTTTAACTTTTTGGGTCTAGTATGGACGTTTTGTGTGCCTACTGACTGTGAAACAAATTGTGATTGGGGATAATGAAGATTCTTGAACTTAAAACTTAAATGACTAAAATCCTCTAACCTTCATATTGATGCTTGACTGTATTCCCAATATCAGCAAACTTGCGATCTTCAAATATGAGGAAGTTGTGTTTCTCAGACAACGCCTGCAGTTTCTGACTGACAGCTGGAGTGTAGTCCTGCAAGCACACAGAACAGCATTAGTTGATAAAATGTAGCAAAGTTCTCCATGTAAAAGAAAACTTCTCATGCACCTTCAGGATGTCTACATGAGTCTTCAACATGCAGATTGTTGGACCAAGAGACTCTGCCAGCTGCAGCAGCTCCTCGCTGCAGGTCACATCAGCAGAAACACAGAGGTTAGACCGTTTCTCCTCCATGATCTTCAGCAGCTTTGATGCCAGGGGGTGAATGTCTGCAGACAAAATGAAGTTTTAGTGTTCCAAACTGGAAAGGATATTTGAACGATTTAAAAGACACTACATACTTGGCAACTCAGCTCTGGCTGCGTAGCTCAGCTCTTGCTTTGGTTCCACACACGGCTTCTTGGCAGCTGGAACGTTACTGCCTTTTTCCTTCTTATTAGAGCTGAATGAGAGAAGATTAAAATAAAGTTACAGAGCCTTATATAAGCATGCAATGAGGTAACAAGCTAACTGAACTCAAAAACAAGAATAAAAAAAGTTCACAATACTATGGAGGTCTTGAGCTACTTTTTACTTTTCTTATATTTTTATTTCCAAGAAGACTCTTTTAATCCCCTTTTAAAAAGTTAGTTGAGCAGTTGTTCCTCATGCGTCATTAAAATACATCTTTAAGCACTTTGTTTCTCGAAGCCCATCACAGAGATAAAGGTTTCCATTTTTTAATGAATCATGAAAGGGCTAAGGATTACTCCATTGTGTTATAGAACACATAAAGCAGCAATTTTGCACCAACCAGGTGATTCCCAACAGAACAAAATCTTGATATAGAGTAGATGTAGGCCTGTCATGATAAATTTTGCTGGGCGATTAATTGTCTCAGAAATTATTGTGATAAACGATAATATTGTTTGAAATTTGACAATAATTAATATTCATCAAATTTAAGAAGAAATGTTGGCAACTTGTTGTGTGTAATATCTTTTTTGACCACTAGATAGCAGTAGAAGACAGTTTGAACTGAAGGATGGATAGTGAGGGAGAGAGCAGTGTGTTTTTAAGAAAATGGAAGGGAGGCCCCTTGACGTGACATGGGCTGTCTCTTCTTCCTGTTTTTCAGTTCTCAAAATGGCGGACGCTCTGTGTGGTTTGAGCTCTTTAGCATAGCATTTGTCACACAAAGCTTTTAATAAAAATAAAAACAAAATCAGTAAACACGTTCTCGGCTTCTTTTTGCAGAGAAAAACAACTTTTTAGACGAAGGCACAAATTTCAACCATGAATTTTGGAGTTTCGATAAGATGGAGGTTTTTCCCCCTGAGGTCAGCCTGTTAGCTTAGCTCGTAGCTTAGCTTCTCAGCTTAGCTACTTTTAACAACCCAAAAACGCAATTTTGGACGGTTAAAACGGATTTTAAAGAAAAGAGAAAGGAAGGGTCAGTGAAGAGCACCGGAGTTGAGCCTTTTGTCATCCAGTGTCTTGAGTAGAAAGAGAGACACGAAGAAACAATAGAGCCGATAAATGAAAATTATCGACCTCATTTTAATTTATCATGCGATTAATTGATTTATTGTTTATCACGACAGGCCTAAACATGATCAACTCTCTAGGTCCCATTTCTTAAAGATATAAATTTAAATAATGTGTATCCCAAAATGACAGTTCTTTTATGACTTGCCAAGTAATTATTCTGTCTAGATCCATTTTTTTAGGAATCAATATACTGTGACAAAATATGCTTAAATGTTGAATACGACAAAAAGACAGAAGCTTAACCAAAACAAACACCAAGAGTCTGAGAAACCAGACAGAACAACAAAAAGGTTTGTTTCCTGTAGATGGTACATTACCTGAAAGTGTTATTGTTGAGGATGAACTTGCGAACGCTCTGGGCGGTTTGGTCATCGATGCGTTCAGCTGCATGCAGCACATCAAGCAGCTTGAACATGGAGATGACAGGGAAGAGCCTGATCCCATGAGAGGCCAACATCTCCACACCGCCTTGCTCTCGATCCATCAGAACAATGGCATCTGTCACCTGAAACAAATAAAAACTTTTAACAAGAACTATCACCTGTAAAAATGTTAAGCGATATAAACTGTTATGATTCTATACCATCAGCCCTTCTTTTTGGAGGACTTCTGCTGTCTCCAGGATGCTGCTGCCACTGGTCACTGTGTCCTCAATGATTAAACATGTATCACCCTCATGAAATGCCCCCTCCACCAGCCGCTTGGTTCCTATTACAGTACAAAAATAAAATAATCAGCCTCAGCAGGAAATAAATTGACCCACAACTATGCGCCGTTAGAAAGCTAAACATTTCAGCGGCTGCAAACCAATTACAAAAAGCTGAAGGTTCTTTCTGTTTTAATAAGTCAATAAATTCTGCCTGGTTTACCATAGTCTTTGGCTTCTTTTCGCCTGATGAGCATAGGGAGATCATGTCTTGAGCAGATAATTGTGGCCAGGGGGAGGGCTGTGTATGGAACACCACACACGGAGTCAAACTGAAGGCTCTCTTGTTGCACTCGCTGGTAGAGGAGGCTTGACACCTGCAAACAAAAACAGAAGGTGACACAAAGGGGCTCTTCCCTGTCGACTCCTCTAAGGCAGCCACAGCCACTATGGGAGTGTGCTGCTTGTAGGACTAAGCTTGTCGTGGCACCTCGGACTGACGAAGTCCTTTGGATGAAGGACGAAACAGTTCAACAAAAACAAATAAAATAAAATAAACCGTCCAGATGACCTGACTGAACATTGTTGGATTTTTTTTTTACCTGGATTATTGAGCATGGACTTTGATATTTTGAACCACTTTGGCTGTGGCTGCCTCAGAGGAGTCGGCAGGGGAGAAGGCGAGACCCAGAAACCATCTTATCACCAGCAAACTGGTTGGTCCACTATGTGAGTGTGCCACTTGTGGAACTCAGTTTTTTGTGGCTCCTCGGACTGATGAAGTCCTTTGGATGAAGGACGAAACAGTTCAACAAAACCAAAAAAATAAAAAAACGTCCAGATGACCTGACTGAACATTTTTGGAAATATATACAAACCATCCTTCAACATTATTTCTTCAAGAACAGAAAAGTGAGGCAAGAAACCTTTGAACCCTTTCAATTTAGTCTCGATCCCAATTCCCTCTATTGAACCTACCCCGTTAACCTTTCAGAGATAAGGAGTTTACTGTTTTTAAGTAGCAGTCTACAGTATTTCTTCAGGCAGGGTGTTAAGAGTCATTTAACTTAGATGAGAGATGTGCTCCTGTGGACAACTAAACCCTATGAAAATGAACAGTCTCGACTGGGCCACTTATTAAATCAGGGCTGTCCAATTTTAGTCCTCAAGAGCCACTACCTTGCATGTTTTATCTCTTTCCTGCTCACCTGTTCTGCAGAAGCCTGTTAATATTCAAACAAGGTGTGTTGGAGCAGACAAACTTCTTAAACATGCTGGGTAGTGGCCCTCTAGGACCAGGATTGGTCATCCCTGGCATAAATAACACCAAACCCATCTTCAACTTCATTCCAGGACATGTACTTTTTTTAATATGGCACAATGTATATATGCCCCACCAGTTGTACATGTGACCCTTCACTGATTTCTTGTTGTGCTTTGTCGTTGTGGGCTTCTACTTGTATGCATTTCCTTGCATGTGCAATAAAACAAAGCATACAGAATGAGAATGTTTTCCATACTTGCAGTAAAGCTAGGCACCTGTTTAAAGTGGAGCAATTAATTCAATTAGACAGACGGAAAAACAGCAATTATTTTATGCATCTGCAAATACAGAGCTCAACATTCTTACTTGCTTACCACTGATAAGATGTTTAAACTTCAATGAGTAAACTGACTGATAATAAATGACTGGTGGAGAAAGAAGGCGCACGTGTGCACAAACTATTTCCAAGACTAAACGACGTAAGGTGTAGCTAGCAGGTTCGTGCCTTTTAAAAGTGCAGAAGTGAAATATCTCGTAGTTGCTGCTGTTTTATTAAACTGTAAGAATGTCAATAAACTAATGTAGCACGTGCTTACCTGATTCATGAGAGCAGGGTAGGACACCAGGACCCTCAGGTCGATATAAATCGGCGTCAACAAGCCGCTCTTCAGTTTGTATTCGCCAAACTTCACAGCGTTCACGTCGTGGAGTTTCAGAATCAAAGCGTCCATGGAAATGTCCTCCATTATTTAGTATCCAGGAGTTGCAGCTTTACTTTCCTCAAACTTTAACGACGCCACGGAATCGCAACTCCCTTACGGCGACTTGGTGGTGACATACACTTCCGTTCCGTTTTCAAAATAAAACAAAACTTGGCAAATGTTAAAAGTAAAACATTAAGACTGTAATAAAAAAGCGTTTCTTGGAAGATAAAGACCACATTTATCTCTTTACCACTAAGCGTTAGATTTAAAAAAAAAAAACTCCACGGTGGTAAAACACATTTATTTCACTTGAGTTGATTTATTCTGAAAAAGCCTATTTCGGAAGTTAAAACAACCTCGCCACCATCTTGTTCAGGGCTTGTTAAACGGGTCTGACCCATGCATGCATGCATGCATGCTTGTATATATGCATGTATGCTTGTATGCATGCATGGGTCAGACCCGTGTGTATTTACATGCATGCATTTATGTATGTATGTATGCATATATGCATTTATGTGTGCATGCATGTGTGCGTGCATGCATGTGTGCGTGCATGTGTGCGTGCGTGCATGCATGCGTGCGTGCATGTATGCGTGCATGCATGCATGTATGTATGTATGCATGTGTGCATGCATGCACGAGCCAGATCCATGCATATATGCATGCATTTATGTATGCAATGTATGTATATGTTTGTGAGGACCATTTTTGAACACATACTACATTATGAGGAGGACCAACTGCTCTTTTTGAGGACCAAAGCCCGGTCCCCATAAGGTTCAATTGGTGGGTTAGGGGTTAGGACTAAGGTGTGAATTGAAGATGGGTTAGGTTAAGGATTAGGTATGTAATGGTAATGGCTAGGTTTAGGGTAAGGGTCAGGATTAGGCAAATGAAAGAAATTTGAATGGAAGTCAATGGAAAGTCCACAATAGCAAGACAAACCTGTGTTTGTGTGTATGTATGTATGTTTTTATGTATGTATTTGTGTATGTAGAAATAAGTTTTTGTCTTATACAGTATTTTATTACCATACCATACCATTTTATTTATAGAGCACTTAAAACTGTTCAGTGATTTGTAGTAATGCAGGAGTATTTTGAACTGGATTCGAAGGTGAACCGGTAGCCAGTGCGGTGAGGCCAAAACTGGTTTAATGTGCTCTCTTAAAAATCGGTCTGCTGCATTCTGGACCAGTTGTAGTCGTGCAATGGAGGTCTGACTGATACCAAACAGGAGTGAATTGCAGTAATCAAGCCTAGATGTAATGAATGCATGTATTACTGTCTCCAGGTTATTTTTGGACAATATGGGCTTCAGTTTAGACAGCCGCCTCAGTTGGAAGAAACATGATTTAACAATCATGTGTACGTGATTGTTAAGTTTCAGGGACGGGTCCATTATCACTCCCAGATTAGCGACTCTTTGTTTTTCTGACAGGGTTAGAGCAGAGAGGTCGATGCAGTGGTTTGTGATCGTGTCATTGGGAGGGAACAACATGACTTCAGACTTCTTTTCTTTGAAACTTAAGAAAGTTAAAGCCATCCAGTCCCTGATGTCAGCCAGGCAGTCGAGCAGAGGTTAAATAGAGCATGTACCATTGTGACAATGGTCATTACTAACAATAAAACCAAACTTTACTTAAAAAATAATGTACATTTTGGATTGTACTGTATTGATTTATTTATTATTTCAAGGAAATTACATGTAATGGAACATTATTTATTTATTTTTAAGTCAGATGCATACTCTGGGTGTTAGAAACCAAGCATTTTGCAAACCATTGTATTATTATGGTTTTAAATGTTGAACTAATTTACTTCCATCCATATGTATATCTGCACCAAGAATGTATGGTACAGTACTGTTTAAAACTATTAATAACTTACAATTACAACAAACAGACTGCAATTTGTTTTCTCTTTTGAGTTTATTATAAAGATTTTGTCCACAGTAGTTCAGAATCCGGCACCAACAATAAAAACAAGTTAATCAAAAAATAAGTTCACACCCCCCAAGCATTGAGCATAATGCCTAAATAAAAAAGGGGGATAAATAGAAATATAAACATGTAATCAAAATATATTTCACTTGAAAACATTGCAAATTTTTCATCAGTTCAACTATTGCTCAAGGAGTTTTGAGTTTAACAGTTGTAAAGGTGTTATAATTTGTTTTACAAAGAAAACCTTAGTTTGCAGATGATGACCACATATACATGAACTGAAAAGAGTACACAGCAACGACAGCCGAGCAAAATAACATCACATGAAAGCTAACAGTGCTCATCTTTTATTATAATGAAGTAAAACCACAAAAATACTGACCATCATGTTTGTCTGGATCAGTACAACTCAAATAAGGAGTTTTAGGCAACAATAAAATACTGTATGGCTTCAGCGTCGTTTCAATAACATTTTTTTCTGATGTAGAAATATCCAAGAACCCACAAAATACATTCTACAATTACCTACAAGACTTTTGAATACGAATTAGCCACAATTAATCTTCTAAAAATAAAACATACATAAACATTTTAAAAGGTGGCTGGTGTCATCACAAGAAAACATAAAAAAAAACCTCACAATTTATATGAAAAAAAAAATTTTGGTTTGAAAAAATAATTAATATGGAATGTGGTGAAAGTTGCAAAAGCCCATTTAATAATAAAATATACAGAGTTGCACTGCATATTGTGTGTTCGTGTTTGTGTGTGAAAAGAACAATGTTTCTTGAAGAGTTCGAAGTGATAAAGCAGCAGAACTTTCATTGTGACAGAAATGTGTTAAAAAAAAAGTCCAAATAAATTCAGTTTTTATGGTTGAAAAGTTGATCAAACCCAAATAATTATAATAAAAAAAAAAAACGTTGAGCAGATCTTTGGTAAGTCACAAAGTTTGTTGCGGTGAAAACCACTAAAGGCACAAAACTGACAGAAACAATATTTTCTAAAGCACCAGGAGGAGGAAGCGTCCTTCTTTAAATGATGACATTGTGAGTGGTCTCACTTCCTTCCTTCCTACTTCTTCTCCAACTCTGAGGGACTATGAGTGTCAGCCAGCAGCTCTGGACTTAAACACTCAATCGGACAATGGATGTTCTGAAAGAAACAGGAACACAGTTGATCAGTTGAAGCAGTTTATCTTTTAGGCGCTAATATAAATAAAGTTATTCTCTAACAAAGCAAAATAAATGCAGCAACATTTTTAAGGCTATAAACTTATTGTGTATCCCAGCTGAAATAAAATTAAAATTACTATAGATAACAAACAGTAACGTTTCTGAAAATTAGCATACAGCAGTGGCGATTTTAGCCTCTTTTTTTGGGGGTGCTCAAGCACCCTTAAATTTTACCTCGGCAATACTGTCTGTATTGTGCACTGCAATACAGTTGTCAACTGGGGGTGGCGGGTGTTTGAATGCGTGAAAGAAGTGTAGCGTGCTCTAGTCACACAAGGAGAACGGTTGGTCAGGCTACTTCTTATAATAATAATAATAATAATAATGTGTTATGTGTTGTCATCATTGTATGTTCCCATACAATGGCAAAAGTGGCTCTCTGCATTTAACCCATCCACCCCCCAGGTGGAGCAGTGGGCAGCTATTGAGGGCGCCCAGGGAGCAATTGGGGATAGGGTGTCCTGTTCAGAGACACCACGAGATGTGCAATGACTGGGGATCAAACCTGGGACTTTCAGGTCCCGAGTCGGTTGCCCTACCTCTACACCATCTCGGCCCCCGTTGTGCCATTAACTCTAAAATAGTTATTGAATTGTGTTTACTTAGTAGTAACAACCCCTTAAATTACACCAGAATGCAGGAAATGGCATCTACTTTATTCACAATTTTATACAATTTTATTCAAAAACTTCTGAGGTAGGACCCCCCCACCCCCCACCCCCCCCCCCCAAAAAAAAAAAAAAAAAAAAACACATTTCATTAAACCTTCATTTATACAGGTTAGTCTCGTGGAGTCACAAGGACTCAATTTCAAGAGAGACCAACATTACAAATGCTTCTGGTGGTAATGGCTACTGCATTGTTCAACCCAAGAGCCATTATCAGTGCTTGGGTCTAAGCACCCCTAAAGGTCAGATTCTAGAAATGCCCCTGGCATACAGTATGGCAGTCTGTTCATGACACTGACCAGTTTACGTAGAGCATTTTCTCTGTAGCGGTCAAAGATGTCTGAAGAAACAGGCTGAAGGAGATCAGCCTCCACATTAGCCTGTCCTCCAGGCCTTCTGCAGTTCTCACATCTCCAACCCTTTAAAAAAAAAAAAAAATCAGGTTAATGTACACAGCTAACATTAAAAAAAAAAAACAGTAATAATTTTTCTATGCTGTTTTTCAAGCAAAGCTATACAAGAAAAGTATTCATTTTCTACCGTCTTACACCTTTTTGACCCCTATAAAGCAGTGCAGCTGTTATTTCTTACCTGCTGACCTCCATAGCAGGTACAGGTGCAGATGGCACCCATGTAATCCTTCTGCCACTGTTTTCCAACCTGGTACATCTTACCATCATCATAACACGTGGACTCATCTGGAGAATGAAGTTGGATAATTAAAGATCAGCTATACTGAATTATACTAAGAATTCACTTGAATGAGAGTCTTATAATGTTTGGTGTATAACGTAGCAAACTTACGGGGTTCACATTTGAATTCTCCCTTGCCGTTGCCCAGGCAGATGCAGCTTGTCATGTGACCATTCTCGGCATGGCGGTCCCACTTTTCTCCGATGCGGTAATTATTACCGTTGTCATGGCACCACTCTGTAAAAGGGAGCAGCAACAAACAAAGGGACAGAAACAGAGACGAAAAAGGAGCGATAAGAAGAGGAGGGACAAACATTTTAAAGTGTGCTCATCATAATAAGAAACAAACCTTTACTCATGGACAGATTCAGTTCAGAAAACAAAGACAGATATATGTTTTTGATTCCCAGAGTAATGCACTAAATATCATCCAGTGATTGAACTTGAACTCGACAGGTGATCTCATTTCCTGGTATTGTCAGATTAACTCTGAACATCTATGGACAATACAAGTCACTGAGATCCCTGCAAAGTTTTCACAGCTGAGCAAAGACGACATCATGGGCATCCAACAGACAGACTTAAGTGCAGTCAAAAATAGTGAAACTTTGTCTAAAAGCTTCTTTACAAACATAAAGTTATTATAAACTGCTAATAACATTGCTGTAAATTGTCATGGCTGGCATTTATTATTCCAAGCTGTAGAACAGAAAACATTCACTGAATGCTTCTACTGCTTTTACTATAGCAAAGGAATTTACAACACATTTAATTGTCTTGTTTATGATTAACACTCATTTCCATCATTGACAATCCTTCCTATAAATTCCTTATGGGTAAGTCACATTATTATTGTTTTTTGTAATTCTATGGTGTGCTGCCGGCTGTTTTGCAGAGATTTGTGTTATTAAGCCACTCACTGGATGAATCACACCTAAAATGTCCGCTGTTGAGCCCCAGGCAGCGGCACCACAGCTTGAAGCCCGTCTCAGACATGCGCTCCCACTCCGAGCCCACCTCGTGGTACGTGTGTGTGAACGTGTCGTAACACACATCCTGGTTGGTGGCAACAGGAAGATCACCTGGAACTTAGTGAAGAAAAATAAAAAGTTAGAACTATTTATTTTGCTTTATAGAGCAACACAGATGACGGATACAAACTTTATTTTATTTTTTTATTAAAACTAGATTTATTGCAATTTTATTATTAAAACAAGATTGATAACACTAGGTTTATAATGCAAACAACTGATCAGTTTTGGTTTATGTCATCATGTTTATGACAGCATGTCTGTGTCTGTGCATGATGTTGTTAGCAAAATATCACATCAAGGTTCAATGTTCTTTATTGTCATTCGCATCACATGTGGTACATGAGGTGGAACGAAACTGTGTACTCAATGTTCAGTTACACCCAAAAATAGCAAAAATATAAACTATATAAAAAAGAAAAAAACAGTATACAAGAATCAAGGTATACGCTAAACAATAATAATATAATATAATATAATATAATATAATATAATATAATATAATAAGTTGTATTAAACAGCAGCCTGAACTGGAGTTGAACAACTATATTTTAAAAAGTCAACTTTAACATGATAAAAGTTGAGTCAACGTCAACTAGTTGATGACGTCATAGGAACTCAAGACGCTATATCATATTCGCAAAAGAAAAACAACAAAAAAACGTAATTTATTATTTACAATACAAAAAGAACAACAAAACATTGGGTGTATATTTATGCTCCTACTATTTATCATACTGCAAATGAGTCACAGGAAAACCAAAACTATTATTAAGCTGCAACAGTGAAAGAAACGTGCAGCACATAAAAAACAAGGCTAAGAAGAGCGGGCAGGCAGTGGTTGACTCCACCACCACCACCTTCCCCGCTGTTCTTAGTTTTATTTGATTTAATCCACCATTGTGGATTGGGTGGAATGGAACTGAGGGCAGCGGGTCATATATATATATATATATATATATGGGGGGGTTTGTACGTCTTTTAACTGGCCTGTCAGCGCGGCTGGTGGCAATCCAAATTGGTTCATCAGCCGTGTGTGTCCGTTGATGCAATCAAAAGCCCGACACCAACCTGGCTTGCCCATCCAGCACATTATTTTAGCTCGAGCCGGGCAATGCCGTGTTAGAAATGACAGCTCTACCGCCCTACTGTTTTTAGTTTTATTTTATTTAATCCACCACATGGATTGGGTGGAATAGAGTTGGGAACAGCAGGGTGGGCGGTGGTGAATGTGATTAGTCGCCGTGAAGTATAAAAACTTGTGAGATGTCCTAGAATCAACTAGTCGACTAGTCTATTCAACCCCTAGACTAAACATGAGTGTATTGTTAGCAGATGGATGGATGGATGGTAGGTAGGTAGGTAGGTAGATCTCTGTAGGGAAACTGGTTTGCAACACTGTCAGCAGGCATTTTTATAAAGGACATACATATACAAGCATACATTAACATCCACCATTACAGCAAAGAAGTTTGAGACATCTTTTTATTACCTTTTTTATGTATTTAATGATTGAATTGCTTGTGGTATGAAAGAAAATGTTGGCCTGTTTCTTGAGAATAAATGAAGGCAGTACCTGGTGGGTAGATGGGTATGAATAAAGCAGCTTATGGGTAGGAAATCAGTAGCATGGATAAAGTGTCAAATCTCCAATTAAAGTTGAAAACTTAAATTTAGTGAAACATGAAACACTAGATTAATTTGAATGAATCTCTCGATAAGCAGTCATTTGATGTACAGCTTCAAATGATTTATACTGTATTTGAAGTCTACTTGATTCAATATAGCTACCACAGCTAATGAATCTTGATAAAACACACAAAAAAAGGGTAAAACTCAGTAAATTTGACAAACATTGCAGTAAAATTTAGTTTGCTTGTAGTTCAGAGTGCTATTACACTTCACATGATCTTTGTTTTAAACTTGGGCATGCATGGCAGCAGGTGATTCACATTCTATAAATGAATGACAGGTTGTTGTGACGCTGCAGGCCAGCAGTCACTCGTTCATGGATGAAGATGTTCACATCCTTGATAGAGAGGGACGATGGTTTGAGAGTGGAGTGAAGGAGCCATGTTTGTGAAGAGAAACTGTCCATCATTGAACAGGGGTGGAGGCCTCCGTGTCCAACTGTCACCCTCTTACAATGCTGTTATTGCTAGGATCACTCAGCCCTCTGTGAATAGCAAGTGGCCATCAGGGCACTAACGATCAGTCGTTAGGCTGATGCTCCTCCTTCATCATGTGAACAGCTAGTTTTGGCTGTCACCAACAAAATCGTTGATCCACTACGAGAAGTGAATATTTATAAGACTGAGTTTACTGCAGCTCCTCAGACTGAAGAAGACTTTTGGATAAAAGACGAAACATTTCAACATTTTGTTTTTAATCCGTCTATGGACTTAAATTAACTTTGTTGGATTTTTTTCTACCAGGATTAATGAGCATGCATCATTATAGGTTGATATTTTTATTCATGTATTTATAAGCTGTAGAGTTGAGAACAGAAAATCCTCGGGCAGTAAGAAGCATTGTACCTGCGTTGCCAACTGTTATGACATCCTCTAGGACCGTTTCTTTAGCCCCCTCCTTCATCGCCTCCACAACAACATTATAGGACGCTCCGGACGTGAGTCCAATCAGTGTGGCGCTGTTGGAGGTGCCGGGAAGACGCATCTGCGTGAAAAACAAGACGAGAAGTGAGACAGGATTCTTCTTTACTGTCTGACTCGAAGGCATCATGAAGGTTAGCGTGAACACCTGGAAGCCGTTTTCCTCCAGTGTGATCGGGTTACAGGACACTTCATATTCCGTTGTTTCGGGGATTGGTTGCCAGGAAATGGTCGTGACCGTCTTTGCTTCTTGGGGCAACTCTGTTTCGTTGTCAGGGAAACCAAAAGCAAGACCTGGCAGAGGGCTGTCACTCACCTGCACAATTCAAAAAAGCAAGAACGTCATGGACAAATAATTTCAGGAACGATTTAAGATGCTAAGCACATTAAGCTTAAGAAGTTAATTTGAGTTTCACGCACCTTGACCAGGGGTACTCTGTTTCCATCAGGGCCAGCGACAGGAATAAAGACCAGGGGCTCTTTGAGAGTGGGTCTCTGGCCTTCTTTGGGTTCATTGTAGGAACCATGCAGTCCATTATTGGGGCGCAAGTTCTGATATTCTGTATAGATGTGCTGACTATGCTGACCCGGTTGGTTCTGACCACCTGTACCAGCCAGGTGGACATGGTTGGAGTCAAAACTGTGCATGCAAAAAACAGAAGGCAATGCAAATGTAAAAAAAAAATAAAATAATAATAATAATAACCAGCGAAAATTCAGATAAGATGTAACATGTTCAGCTAAAAAATGTTGGTGAGTTGATTGAATAATTTTCATGTGGTCCTGCAGACACTCACATCTTTATGTCAAAGGACTCTGGGACATCCAGGATGTCGGTGCCGGGTCGATTAGGAACAGGAAGTTGAGGCAGCTCAGGTACCAACAGCTGGTGAACAGATGAGTAGTCCGGCTCTGATGATGTAAAGAGAAACATTCATGCTCTTTGTTAGTATTTGGATAAAATTTGAGAAAGACAAGATGGTCTGAACTGTGTTCTGAGTTAAATGATGTTCCAAGTCATTCTAAACGATGCTTACAATACAAAAATAAATGTTTAAAAGGCAGCTGAATCTTTTTTTGCCTGTAGCATCAAAAGGACAAAAGTGCCTCTCAAAACGCCATACATTGATTAATACATTGATTAATACATTGATCTATGTGTATGTTGTGTATAATTTTAGTGTCAATCTATTCAAAGTATTATGCTTTTTAATGTTACTTGCCTTTTTATATGCCATAATAAAACACATGGTCATTTTCAACAATTTTCTCCATTGAATTCTAACCATACAGTAGTACAGAATAATAAAAAATAAATAAATAAAAATAATGTACAATAATTAAATCTACTATGTTGTTATTCAAATTAGTTTTAGTGTGTGATTTAACAGCATAAATGACATATATATATATATATAGATAGATAGATAGATAGATAGATAGATAGATAGATAGATAGATA